TTTTTTTTGTAGAGACAGAGTTTCACTCTGTCACCCTCGGTAGAGTGCCATGGCATCACACAGCTCAGCTCACAGCAACCTCCAACTCCTGAGCTTAGGCAATTCTCTTGCCTTAGCCTCCTAAGTAACTGGGACCACAGGCGCCCACCAGAACACCCAGCTAGTCTTTTTTTTCTGTTGCAGTTTGGCCGGAGCTGGATCTGAACCCGCCACCCTCGGCATATGGGGCCGGCGCCCTACCCACTGAGCCACAGACGCCACCCAAGACATTTATATACTAAAAAATTTAGTAATGTTTACATGTACCCTCGTAAGATGCACCGGAGGTGTGGTCCCACCAATTATCCTCCCTCCACCCATCCTCCCCCCTCTCCTCCCCTCCCTTTCCCCTGATTTCTTTTATTTTTTAAATTGTTTGTCTTCCCCACCAGAACATACACTCCATGCCAAGAGGGACTTTCTGACTATTTCAGGCACCCCCACCCAGGCAGTCTTGACTCCAAGGAAGTACAGTCCATGTCTATTGAGTGAATGAGCATTGGGCTTTCCAGCAGAACCCTTGGATTTGAGTCAGACACTGTCTATCCAGTCTCCTGCCTGCCTGAGGATTGTCACTTCCCAGGCCACAGGTTCAGAAGGCAGGGACAAGTCATTAGGTAACTGGACTTCTCCACCAAGCTGAAGACATGGAAGAATAGCCGTGGTGCTGTCAGCTAAGGTTCAAGGAAGGGCAGTGAGGGACAATGCAGATAAGATGTGGGCAGCAGGTGCTATAAGCATAGCTGCCCCTGTGTCACCATCTAGGACACTGAGGAGGCTGCCCCTCCAGCTACTTACTAGTCCACCTCAGCCTTAAATCAACTTAACATTTCTCAGTGATTGTCACATCCTCGCAGTAGGCCCCCTTGACCTCTTCCTAAAGAGCACTAAGACTGAGTCCTCAGTCCTGAGTGAGGGAAGTACCTGCTTCCACCCAAGCTTTGACAAGTGGCAGGATGCCAGAAGTCAAACAAATAGACTGAGCTTATTTACGCCCAAACAGAGGATTACCAGGAAACCATCTTGCTTAGATCCAGTACTCTGCTATATTTCAAGGTTAAGTGCCATTCCACTTGGTTTGAAAAGATCATCCAGGCTTACTGAGACCCATTTCCCTCAGTCTAAAAGGAATGCCTTTCCAATAAACACAGGCCAGGAGGGGCTAAAGACACTGACAGACTCAGCCATCTGCTACTCGTTAACCAGTTGGCCATATAAGGCAGGACACACACACATACACACACACACCCCTCTCAAGAAAATGGCAACCACAAAAAATAAAAATCGACCTTTGATAGAGAAAGATTAACCAGAGGCTGTCTGGTCAGTCATGCTCCAAAACCCAGAATTTGGAAAAGTCATTGTTCAAGGCCAGCCTAGCCCCATGGGTCCTCTGAAAATAATAGAAAGCAGCCTCTAAAAAGCCAAAGCTCTGCCTTCTGAATTATTCCACCTATACACAGTTGCTCTAAACTAAACCCTAACCCTAAACAAAGAACCCAGAGACTCATGCATCTTGATGCTAATTAAATAAGAACCCCACAGAACCCTAGTTTTCAAGCCCAAGCACAGAATGACTAATGTAATCAAGAACTTGTCATACTTGAGTGTAACAAAAGTAGGGTTTTATATTCTATCTTGATGAAACGTGTAATTCTCCCCCATCACTGAACCAACACAACTATTAGATCTTAATGTTTTCAGAACTGGCCCCACACACTTTTGAGAGGTCTGTGTTTCCTGTTATAAATAAAGTTCTCTGGCAGGACAGAGGCTTGGGCCCTGACACCTTTTCCCTTCATCCCCCCAGCCTGTCTCCATCCCGCCTTCCTGCCTGAGGTTGTGCTTCTGGGTTAAGGTATTCTGCTTTGAAAAGAATACCCAAAACATCAGAGCTGTTGTTGGCCCCAATTCTGATTAGAACTGACCCCAGCCCTCCCCATAAGGCAGTCAATGCTTTCTTCTATTTTTACAAGCTCCCTAGAGCCCCAGGATCCACTCCAGAATGGCCTTGCCAGAAGAAAACAAAACTCCCCTTGGTCTGATGTCACTCCCTCCTGTTATAAAGCACTTCCTTGCTAGTTAGCCTCACAACAGTTCCAGACCACAAAAGCCATGGGAAAAGCTCCTATGGCAAATGCAAACCCCAGCCTCCCAACTCCCCAGCCACTGTGCAGAGCCACACCAGCCCCAGCCCTTGCAGCAGCCTGACAGGCAACCCCCAGGGTCCCCCACACACAGCATCTGGGCTCCTCATTCAAGTGTTCTGAAGGGGCAGTGGGCATAGGGAGGAAAGCCTGGCATAAACCTTCCCAGGAACTTCACAATTTCCAAGTGATATTTACATCTCTGATGACATCAGTTTATCCATCTGAGCATAAAAGCATCTGTTAATGCCAACGTGCAATCCCGTCCACTCCTCTCTGCTAATTATAGCCTTTCACCAGGCAGCCGGCCACTCAGCTCTAGCGCAGGAAGCAAATGGCCCATCTGTCAAGCAGGACAGCTTCAGCTTAACAGGGCTGGGGGTGGGGAAGACACAGCCATGCCCATCTGGGGCCAAGAGGGAAAGAGCCGGCAGCCCACAGACCAGGC